GGAAAGGTATGTTACACTATTTCGAATTTGCTCGATCCAAGGAATCTTAATTGGTGATCAGTCAAAGGCGAGATACCAGTCTGTCAGTCAGCAGTTTGGGTGATCTTATATCGAAAGAGCTGTTGGAAATACATTTGTGCTATGCCAAATTAAATGAGGTTATGCACCGTGCAGACGCAGCGACTAGACTAAGTGTCATTCCCATGAACAATAGAGTGTGGCCTGTATGAGTAAGAATTAGTAAGATATGACATCGCAAATCTTTGTATATGTATTGTTAAAGATGAATTGCTCATTGTGGTTGTAATGTCCAGTCGCGTGATTTCTGTATACAAAGTCAGGTTATAAGGAAATTATATTGATGCCATTCCGCGTTATACCAAGGATAAGGGTGTTGCTTTGTAGGATTGCTATTGCTTATTACGTTTTTATTGTTTTAGTATTACTTATGCAGGGACATGTGGAATTAGAATGCGTCGTCAACGCACAGTCGCTTAAAGAGTTAACAAAATCGGTTGCATATTATATTACTTTTTCGTACGTTCGATCGTATAATGTTTTAAACTTAATTTCTACCAATGTTGTAGGCTTAGTTTGGTAAAGGACAGCCTTGGACATGGTTTAAGGGCGAATAGATGATTTAAGATTGGCTGGTGCCGCTGTATTACATAACAGCTGTTATTTGTGAATAAATGTAAACCGCGTTCAAATTTTGCTAATATAATTTAGTGCAGAGTTTGCACTAAAAGATTACGATTTGTACTTTTATTTCCTTTCTTTCGGTGTATGTAAAATGATTTTTATAATAATATTTCGTGGTAATATTAATCGTTGATTTGTGTTCTTCTGTGAAGTCCCTTGCTGTATTAAGTTACTTTTGTTCAGCAGAGCTAGCTTTATTAAGAGACGACGACATTTTACGGTTTAGTTTGCTTGCGTCGTAGTCATGGTGAACTTTCACGTTTTGTCGTTTTACGTTTATTGAAGAGAGCGTGCGTATCTGAAGTCACAAGAACGGAATGTTGACCTTTGCTCGACGTAAAAGAAAGCACGCGCAATGCCTCACCAGATATTCTTAACTCTAAGAGCTGTACACTTGGGACATAGCCATGTCGGTCTGTTTCCAACAAGCCTGGGGGAGTATTGAAACGGGCGTCGCATGAAAACTTGACGTTAGTTTGTAACCATGGTTGGCGTTGTGACACGAAGTCCCATGAAGCTCAAGCTTCGAAATTACCTGACGGTCACGTGTTCCGAGTTGAGTCCGAGTTGCCAGAAATAGAATAACCTCTCATAAAACACTATTTTTGCATCGGAATGATGCACGGCTTCGTGTCAGCCTGTTGTGATTGACAAGACTGTTCCCCATACACGGTCGCGTGTTTCTATTTTTAGTATGCCTTCATGGACTTTGTTATGTTTCCAGCATTTGAGTAGTGAAACCTACTTACAGCTAAGATATTTCAGTTTCATAGTCATAATGGTATTATTAATATTGGATTAGAAACCAAATGTAATAGAAAAACATTGTGAAAGTCATTTATCCATAATTTTAAAAATACTGACATTTTCGGTTTTTGAAAAAATTATGAAAACACTAACAGCAATTTTTTTAAAAATTGATTGTGTTTGTTTTGTTTTTAATTCCCAATTCACGGGATCGTTTATAATATTATTCGTACACGATGAACCAAATATAACATATTAACAACTTTGAGTTGAATCTTGTGTCATTAAGTATTTACTAATGCTCAATTCTATGCTTTACGGTAATTCTTTGTAGTTCATGGCTGTTCGGTGGTTGTCCATGACATCTCTCAAAAATCAATCCCTTATTTTCGATCGCAAATTTCCTAAAAAGTGACATCAATCATTTCACTCATTTTGAGCAAAACTTCCATATTGTGCAAAATACTCATGTTTTGTGTATGACTGCTAATTTTGGTTCTAATGGATATTTTTAGTCAAAACTCCAGAATTTATGAGTAACACAGATTTACAAGTTTTAAATTATACTAGGTGTGAATAACAATTACAACTCATTTTTTAAGGATTAATCACTATGCTTTCTAAGCTTGTCCAAATTGGGTATAAAGAAATTTTCGCAGAAACTACCAAAAAAATTAACCATAATACTTCTAGAATGTGGTATTATGAGAAAATTTGATTGTCAAGGATCATATTAAATCAAGCCTAATTGTTTTTTAAAAATTCAAATACTAAAACCATCACAATACTGACATTTAAAAACATTGTTCCTACAAGTTACGTCATTATTATGATGATGTCATTTGTTGTACCGCTGTTATAACCAGTTTCCCTAACTGTTTACATAATCCACCCACATACATTACTAAGTTAAATGTACAACACCCAATAACAACTTAACCTAAAAAACTTAATGCCAATCAGTTGTAAAAGTAAAAATACAATCATTCCTAATGTTTTCAATTGTGATGTTAAGATGATTGATATTATTGTCCTATGGTGATGTCATAATGATGGATTATTAAAATTTGTCATCATCTTGGCATTCTTGATACATGATTTAATTTGTAATTACCAGTTGGATTGATTTCTAATAATATCATGTAACAATGGAACAATTATATCATCAGATTTTAATTTTTTATTGCTATTTTTGGTCATGATCATGTTTTGATGATGAATATAATGTATTTTTTTGCAAAAAATAATTTTGCTAATGTGGAGTATGAGGTTTATCTTTTTTTGAATAAATAGTTATGTGTTTAATATAAATTAGCTTCGGGCACTTCAATTGCTGTTTTAGAGATATCTGAGTGCCCACGAAATTTATTTAAATCCAAACATTTAAAAAAAAGATTAATAACAAAATTGCTGTTCTTAAATAAAATTATTTTTCAAACGTAAGGTCAAATTTAGCTTGTCATCAACTAATACAACTTCCATGGGAAAAAAATTAAATAGTAATTTCGTAATTCCTTATCACAGGCTAAATGTCATGCCCAGCACCTCACACAAGATGTGATTGATTGGGTAAGCAATGCCGGAATGAGAAGTAGCAGCTCTTTTAATGTTGTTAGATACCACTGCATGCTTGTACGGGCCTTGTTCAGAGCAAACATTGTAAACAAGCGTCTTATGAACAAGGCAAACCATTCAACATCTCAATTTAACATAAATAATAAACCTATTGCAGGAATGGCAAAATATCATCAATAATAAAAAATTCATTTAATTTATCACATTTTCCAAATACCTAATTTTAAATTTAATTAAAACTTCGATCATCAGGCAATCCCTGAGCAGGTATGATACTAGTATGTGGTTGTGTGACTGTTAGAATCTATATGTAATGAATCTATAACTGTCATGCTATCAAATGTTAACATCATTTATCAAAAACATATCTCATGTTGGATATAAATTCAGATAGGTCACTGTCATGAGTTTGTACTATGTGGGCTCTTGATCTTCTTCTATTTTATGATATGTACACACCATGTGATTCATAGTGTTTACATTTACATAAAACCAAATGACGTCAGTTGAAAACATTATTTCAAATTAACCAACACAATCACAATATTTATTCAATCTTTATTATCTTGAGCTGGATTCTGCCTTCATTTGACCCTTTCATTTGAAATCCATGTTTTGTTGTTGTCACAATGCATGTATGCACTGTAACCCATTAAGCGATATTTATAGTGTTGTAATTTATTAGTTTCACATTGTCTGTTTACAAAACTTTTTTCGTTATGGAATTTCACGTTATGTAACGAACAATTTGAAAATAAGGACTTTTGCAAAAGCTTGGGCTATTGTGACATCAATCCTCAATGAAATGATCTATTCTTGCCCGTACTTTAATATACTTTGCTAAATATAATTACCATGCCTGTTTTATATCCAAACCAAGGTATTCTTCTCAAAATATTCACATTTTGCTCATTGGCGTCATGAAATGGATTGTATATAATGGATTTTATGCGTCATAATTATTTTGTTTACCCCTTCAACGATTTCTGGTTTCGCTGTTGTTTCCTTATTAATGGCTTTGTAAAAGAATATCATATATGTAAGCAATATTATTTTCGGCTTGACTGATTTGTTTCGGTTTTCACATGATATATAAAGGATGTATGATCATTGCTTTAAACCAATTGCTCTCTGTAGGCCGTTAGAGTTGAGAGGTCGAAATATGGAATTGTATATATGATTCATGCTAATGCAAAGGGTTGTATTAAGATTTTAGTTAGCATGGCAATAGGAATGGTATATCGAAAACTTGCTAGTTTCTTATTATGCATATTTAGGAATGTAAAATTTTATTAGGTTTGTACTGTAATATTATACTCAATCTGCATATTTGTATAAAATACAGGGGTAGCCAAACTTGCGTTCGTATATGATTGTACCCACTACCCAGAAGTTTCAGTAACCTTGGACGCTTTGCACAGAAATTATGTTTTCTCTAGAATATGTTTCAACTTACCTTGGTTCACTTTTTTAGGGGGTCAACCGGTAGTATACTCTGTAATAAATAGACTTAATTTAATGAAGATGTAGAAGGCACATATTTCGATTTAGTGAATGTTGAGAGTAGGGGCACAATGCGCATAGATTTGAAATAAAATATCAGCGACTGCCAGTCTGCCACCAAACTTGAATATATACTTTATCAGCCGGAAATACGACCACAATGAGCAATGCTAATAGAAATACATTTGTGTTAGTGTGCAGCAGGATTATTGAATTGCATAGAATGGTCATGTTTATTCCTGCTGCGGCATCTTTGCATTATATGCATGTGGGATCCACTAGCACAAGGAATTGAGGAGAGATTAGCTACAATAAGAGTTTTAGTTTGCTGGATAAGATTATGTACTTTGTTATTATACAAAAGTGAAGTTGTGTCTGAATTTTATTTAGTACGTTGATATTTTAAAAAAGCTTTTATTTATTTGACTATTTTTTATTGTAACAAGCTAAATGTCTACATTTTGTATTTACAGTCATGGAAAAAACGATGGTTTGTGTTAAAATCAGGGAGATTATCAGGGGATCCTAATGTATTGGAATATTCCAAGTATCAGACTTCAAAAAAACCAATAAAGAGCATAAATTTGAATGATTGCAAGCAAGTGAGTAGCTAATTATCATAAGTAATTTATTCAATAAACCTGATTTACCTTTGCTTGGATTGAAAATTAGATTTGAATTTCAAAAATTTCAAATTGAATTTATTACCCATTGCATAGCACAACATTTTTGTTTGGAAGTTTTATGACAGATCATATTTTGGGTATTTTCCTGATGAATTATTTAAATTCCTTCTACAGCTTACTCTTAAGTTTTTTTCTAAACTCCCTTAGGATGATATTATATACACCATTATATTCATTCTATGTTTCGTCTAAACCAGGGTTTTTCAAACTAGACCCTTGGCTCTCCTAGTTGGCTATAGAGTGATTCTCTGGGACCACAAGCGAAAGCCTCCATTAAATACCATCAGCCATACCTACGTTAATTTTAAAGTGAATTGATTGCGATTCGTTCAATTCATTCATTTTAATGCATTCATTTTTTACTTCTTTTTGTTGAATTTTTCATTATGAAACATGACACAAATAACTATTTGAAGTATAAAGTATTTTTATAGAAGAGTAGGAGAATACATGTATTGAGATTCTTTTGAACGTTGTCACGTACCATGGGAATTTGAGAATCGCTGGCTAGATACTCTTATATCTGGTCTTAGTGGGACAAGACGAGTCACTTTGTTTTTCAGATAAAAATCACGATTATCCCGATTTTGACTCAATCCATTATATTCCCCTTTTCCACAGATTGATATTAATGTGACGATACCTGTTCGACACGATAAGAAGGATACAACAGAACATTTTGTATTTGCAATTGTAACGAACCTTCGAACATTTTATTTGGTTGCTGACAGCCTCAGAGAAATGTCATCGTGGGTGCATTGTCTCTGTGATCTGTGTGGATTTAGTCATGGTAGGTCATGAAAACACATATTTATGGAGGTGGTATAATGACATTGTATCAACATTACCTTTTAATGAGATTAGGTTATGGTATGTAGTCATTCTGTTATTATGTTTTGTTTGGTGTTTTTTTATAGGATATTTTACACATCTTACTTCGAAGAGATACTTATGATTTTTTTGAATTACTATTTACTGTATCATAATTTTATGTCAGATTCTAATGACAAATCAGACTTGGGTCGGCAGAAGCAAACATTCAAAGCTGGAGAACCAAACATGAATGTAAATGGAAATTCTCCTGCAGCTTCTCTCTTGTAAGTTCATCAGTTATGCTGTAGGCTGACACAAATGTATTTCTGTATCGTTTCGTCTGACTGAGATCAGAATTTTTCAGACAAACATATTTCCACTATTGGAATATATACCATAATATGTGAATATATACCTCGGTGAGACAATATATTAAAAAAATGCATTTGTGTTAGTGTGCAGCAAATAGTACTTTTTAAGGAAGCTTACTCAAAGCAATTCAACATGCACTCGGAATAAAGGGTCTTCGAGTGAATTTATGATTGGCCACTGAAGTACCAAGAGCTACTGAGAGTCTGAGACTATTAAAAAATAATAGTGTAGAATTGCATCTTATAAAATACCAATTGTGTGCTTTTTGAATCAGTGTTCTTGTGAAAAAACGTCATAAAATATTTTTGGGCTTGTAGCGATATTTAAGAGTAAGCGTGTGAGAGCTCACAGCAAACTGAGTGTGGTGGTTGAAAACCTAATTTGAAGGAATAAGTTTCGAGAGTTCAGAAGAACACAGTCCTTTATAATATCTGTAAAATAAGTACACCGAAACAACATTCCCTCGATGAGAAAATTTCATGTTTTGTATTTAAATTTTATTGGTGTTATGCAAATGCAGATACTGATCTTATCCATGACTGCCATTTTATTTTTTCACATACAGGCCAACGACATCCGACGTTCCACCTGCAGTGTTGCCTAGACCTGAGAATACCATTACTGCCTTGTCAAAGCCAATCGAGCCAAATCATCCTTCACCAGTCATGCAAAATGGAACTGTGAATACATCATTTCTTACTACATCTGAAAATGGATATGATTTTTCTGTGCAAGATGCTTCATTTGATAATGGTGTTGGTTTTGGGCCACATATAATGAGTGAGTCTATTATTCTGGTTCCTGTTCGTCCAAAATTAATAGCTCTCAAATTTTGCTTGTATTGACTCTTGTTTGGAGTGGACAGCAAGGAAAATGTATAAAAAAAATTTATCACTCTGAAGATTGGTCATCTTTAACAACATTTTTAAAATATATACAGCAGTAATACTTTTATCTTAATTAAATCTTGCCAGCAAACCTCTTGTCAGAAGTATTTTTTTTAAATGGGCCGGGCCCTCTCCCTTTTTGGGGGCCACAAGCAAAGGTCTTAGTTACAATTTGCAACGACCACATTGTTAATGTTAAGTAAAGTAAATTAACCGCAATTTGGTAACAATTTTTGATCATGGCGCATTTTCATTAAGTGTTGCGAATAAAGTAACTAATGCAAACCTGTTAAAAACAATACGTTTTTTTTACATTGAAGAGCAAGGGTGTCACACAGTGTTGAGAATATTTAGATGAGGCCACAGATCGTGAAAGTTGGAGAACTACTGGTTAAAACTAACAAATTTTCTAACAGAAGCTAATTTCCTCTCTTATCACAGGCAATCATAGTGAAATGTCACTGGATATACCAATGTTCGCTCCCCCTGAAGATGATGATTCTGACAGATATTTTCATCTGGCTGACTGTGAGACTCTGGATAAAAACGAACAAAATCCATCATTATTGATGACTGAAAAGGTATAAAATATTCAAAATGAAAATTTTTAATGAAAACTTATAAAGCATAAGTTAGCCAAGCATTTCCAATAGACGATTAAAGAAGACTTGCATAAACCAAAGTTGTTATCAAAATTTTATTTTTTCGGGTCTGGACTCTCAGACGTCACAGCCCTGATGTATATTCATGGTGGATGGAGCGGGCATGTTTTTTTTGGACTTGGAGACGAAGTGGTATTTTCACAAACTCCTCAGAGTCAGTGTCGAAATTCTGATATCCTGAAGTCGGAGTCATGATTTCAGATTTTGATGGTGATGAAATAAGAATGTTTCAAAGAACTCCAAAAATATTACATTGACTAAACGTTCTCAACGGTCTGTTAAAAAAGCTTGCATATTATCAAAATTAGATTTTCTTTAGATTGGAGCTGGATTTGGAGTCAAAATTTTTCTTAACCCCAAGTCGAAGCAAAAATTTTTTACAACCCAGAGTTGATGTTAAATTTTCCCCTACTCCACAACCATGGGATGAAGTACTGATAATTTCTTATGATTCACTGGCATCAACCTCTTATGACATTTTATTCACAGAATGATGAACGTAGATGTTCAACTGACAGCGTATTTGCTCATGACGATGGATCTGATGAATCGAAAGAGGACAGTCCAACACTACCTATGGAAGCAATTCCACAAACGTCAAGATTTTTACAAGCTAATAAAGCAAGGTTGAGCAGCATGCCTGATTGCCCGCCACCACCTCCTCCAATAAATGGTAAGTGTGTTACACAAAAATTTTACTTATATTTTTGTTTTATTGCTTTACGAATTTTGTATCTATCAAAAACAAGTTGCAGCTCATTAGTTGTTTTCACACTTTTCGTGCTTTTTTATTCATTTAGTCAAGTTTCCAGACTTTATTAATCTCATGACTTACATAACTTTATGTAATGTGAGTAATGGAAAAAAACTTTATTAGCATCAATTTTCAACATGGAAAGGTTTTTTAATATATGTAAATTTAATCATTTCTCTAGGATTTCATTTTTTGCACATGTATGATTATAACATGACTGAATGTTTGATATAATCACTAGTGCTTTTCCATCAACATTAGCTTTGATAGTTATTTTTCAATACAATGCTTATTATTTCTATTTGCTCTGAGAAGCACTGATATTCAACGAGATGTGATAAGCCATTTTTTTTCGGAAGGATTGAAATAGGGCTGGGCATTTCAAATCGAATAGTAAATTATATGAATCATTTCAAACGAAAATTTTAAATCACCGCCATCTTGTTTTTTTTTCATTTGCCCAAGATCAAGGTGAATCTGTTGTTTGAAGCCGTATTTTTGAATACAAACGGGCATGTAGCCTATTTCTTTTCTTCCGAGTGACTTATTGATGAAACATGTTTCTTATTGATTGTGAACACTCAGCGAACTGTCTGTTGGACTCCTTACAATCAAAAAAATACTGTATATACAATCACCAATCTCCCAAGATTCGATCTGAACAAAAATATTCAATTCGATTCTGAAATCACCAGATTTTCAAAAATACTCTAGATTGCCCTAGATTGAAATCAATTCAGTCTGTATACAATCTAATAACTACACATTGCGCAATGTTTTATTTCATTTTGTCTCTAAGTTTATTTGTTTCATTTTCAAATTGCAAATAAAGATCCAGTTACAGAGAAGCGCATGTAATTAGAGTACTTGACATGAGATATTGTTGTGAGAGTAAATACCAAAACGAAACATGTTTGTACGTTTAATAACTTGTTGTATGTTTTATAACTTGCTGATATTAAAAGTGGTGCTATATATAACTTACCTATATTGATGCAAACATAGAACATAGCTAATCAATGGGGTTAAATCTTTTTTGAAATACTACCATACAGCACAGAAGTATGTTATGAAGCATAATCTATTAGTATTTGTTATCTTTTCTAATTTCAAATTTCAGTATGCAAAATTGCATCATTTTAAATTTCAAAGATTTAACCATAAATCTATTGTTACAAAAACTGTTGCAGCTCCTGTACAGTGCAGTCCCATTATCAAACATGAACCATATCAAAATAAGTCACTTTATCATATTCCCATACTTGGCTGCCTCTAAACAAACGATATCTGCTTTAGATGTGTTTTTATAATTTAGTGTTGCCTACTCATTGTGTCTGTAATAGCATTTTGCATGGTCTAATGGTTTTATAACCATCTTTTATTACAGCAGCCTGATTTTGACAGCTGGAATTCTGTAATATATAGCTTTTGTCTACATGGCTGCAATATACTCAGCTGTTAATACATACCGTGCAATACATACTGTGCAATTTGATTGATGGCTCCTATAGATATTGCAAATGCTTTTATGATGAATTAAATGTGCAGTATCACTGAATATACGATATTAATATCATTTTAAATATACTTTTATTTTTTTTTTCAATGATAATTTTTACAAATTTTTTTCTATTAGTAATAATCTCTCTAGATAGTTGCATTTTTATGGATTTAAAATTGTATCTTGGTAATGTCTCACAACTAATTCTTTGATCTGTTTAAATCTTTTCCTCGTAGGTTAATTTGTTTTAGGATAAGGTTTATGTTTTTGCCCCACCCATCTCTGTAAAGGTGGGGCAAGCATCTAACCTATGATGGTTATGGGGCGATATAACAGGATAATACCAAAATTACCATAAGAATTCTATTAACAGCTGCATTAGCAATAATTTAGCCATCATCGGGGGTTAGAATACTTGAAGACAATATTTAAATTTAATCTTCTAGCAGGGGTTTAGCCAAGAATTTTCAAACATTTTAAATGCCAAGTTAGACTGTAACAGCTAGCAGTCGATGCTTTCTTTTTTTACCCTTCTTAAGAGGGGTTCCGACTCCCCCTCCCCTTGCTATGCCTCTGCTAATTAGCATGATAAACTTCATACCATACTTAACTACACCTTGTTAGTGTAAATTGGATAAACTGACCCGGTTTGGCTCAATTGAATTTGTAAAATCCACTCATAATTGCTTTCTTTTACATCAGTGCTTCCTCACTCACAATATGCAGATGACGACGAGGATGATGTTGTTGACGCTGTACGTCGACCCTCCAGGGTAAGATTTGCTCGCTTTATAAATTATAGACCAGTAAGAGACATGAGGGATATTGTTTCGTTAGTCAAAAATAGGCAACATACGCAATATTATTCGGTATAGACTGGTGGGTGCAATAGAACCAGAAGGTCTTTTAAAGTCAACTCTCCCCCTTCCAGTGGGTTCAAAACTTTTTTCAAAAATTTCAATTTCCAAAATGTACCAAAAAAAATGAAAAAGATTACAATGTAATAAACCAAGCATGTTGACTCGGAGTTTTTTATGTCCATGTAAAAAAAATAAAAAGTGAATTGAAACAGAACTCTGGGTACTGATAGTTTTTGGCATCAGACTTGCAATCGTTGCAGCCCTACAAATGCGAGCATAGTTTGTTCAAAGAATGAAAGTACGGTAAAAACTATCAAGCTATGGGCGTTTACTAGATTCAGGAAACCCATTAAAATCTTGAATGAAAACACTATCACCTGTAAATACAAGAAACTTAACTTTGAGATTCTCCATTTAAATTAGTTTTTAATCATGTTCAATCAGTATAACAACTTATTTTTATAAGCATTGACCTTTGCTTGTTTTACAGAATATCAAGAGTAGACTTCCTCCTATTGATGACACCGGTTTATACAATGTTCCACCTGGGCTGCAGAGAGAACAAAGAGGCACAGATGGGTCATTACGTTGGCAAGGTAAAAATTTCAAATTGTTTGAGATGTTTTGCAATGTTTCTAATGTATTATCCCTGGGCCAAAGATCTCTAACTTTTGGCGCCATTATGCTCAAGATATCTTACGTGGTGATAAAACGTGGTCATATACGGTAGTTTTGTTTTAATGGGTCAACTGGTGAAAGGAAAAAATAAATCCATTACATTCAAAGAACAAATCACAGCCAAATATGATGCTCCTAAGATGCTTTTACTCTTTCATTTTTTAAATTTATTTCGTGAAGTCTGTGACACAATTTTTACCCAAATTTAGCTTTTTAATTGATAAAGCTTCTACTACATCCTCCTATGTTTCGACCAATGGCTATCTAACAAATGTAACAGAAATCTCATCCGCAATGTATATTGAAAAAACGAAATATTCAATTTTTACTGTGAAATTTCCAAAATTTGGCATGTATCGTTGTTTTGTTTTTTATTTGCAAAATAAGGTTGACTAGTCTACCAAATTATTTGGATATAGACACTTGTTAAGGAAACTTGTATAACACAATAGTCACAAGTGAAGTCTTGCAACCTTTTGTCAATTATATCCCAAGGTTGTTACTCTGCAGTGAAAAAGTATTCTAAATCTTTGTTTTCATTATTATAGGGAGTAACAGCAGCTCTTCATATGGATCAGCTTATGGAGGAGATGGCAGATACACCGGAAACAAATTACTGAGTCCCCCAGAATATATAAATACACAGGATCCAAAAAGTTCAGGTAAAAGTAAATTGATCCCAACAGCTTCAATACAACCAAATAACTTTAATACAACCAAACACCTCGAAACCTTAATACAACCAAACACCCCCTAACCTTAATACAACCAAATACTCCTATCACATTAATGTAACCAAACTACCTGGCCCTGATTTGAAATTCGGCAAAGTTAAAGTTTTATACTTTCAATAGTAATAATTGGAGTCCAAATTTGTAACTGAAACTTAGAACAGCAAATAAATACACATACGTTTAAAGTTCCGGGAGTCGAAGCCTTTTCAATTTTGTCCCCACATTTTACAGCCCTGTATAATAGTAGTAAACAAGGAGTTAACACAAATGTTTCATTTTTTGCAGGCTCTTTTTCTCCTGGCATTCATTTATCTGGTTCTGCTTCGTCATCTTATTCAAGTCCCGGTCCACTGTCTACCAGTCCACATCTTAGAAACCAATTATACGACGTACCAAGTCCTCTGTCACCTGTCTTTCCACTTGGTCAAAACGCCAACGCCAGATCGAACTACCAGTCCCCGAAAGCGTTAGATAGAACACCAGTGGGATTGACACCGGCATCCTCAGTACAGGACTCTGATGTTTTGGCTTTACAAAAACAATTGAAAGATTTTAAAATGTTGGATGTTGGTGGTGTATCACCGACGCAACAAGAGTCCACTTACGCCACACCGAAGGATTTGGGTTTGTCTTCGAAAACAGATCAAGTGGATACAAATTTGAATACTGAAAGCACATATGCTGTGCCACCCAGGCCACCAAAACCTACTGCTACGAGTAATATGCCGTCACCGGCACAAAGGCAAAAAATCCCAACCGAATTGTTACTGGGACATAAATCTTCTGAGGGACTTTATGCGAGTCCAAGAAGTCACAGTGCGAGTAGTGCAGGCAGTGCGGACCATGCAACATATGACACTGTAAAGCAGCTGACGCCTGTATCGTCACCCCATGCCACTGGTATTCGCACAGTGCCTCCAAACTCATTGCCGCCGTTTACGAGAAATTCAGTTTCAGCTACTAATTCTCCGTTAACGACACCTAACATGACAAGACGAGCTGAAATAACGTGAGTTATTTGTATTGTTACATGAGAACCACTCATAAATTACCAGCAATATATAAATTTACTGAAATTAGGATAAGATTTTGACAATTATACTGATGCATAGAAAATTTGATGTGATGCATTAGTCCAGGTCAGGGGTCGGCAAATTACGGCCCGCGGAGCAATAAAATCCAGCCCGCAACACTTGACTGAATTATATTAACAAAACAGCTGTATTGACGCTTATATTGTTTACGTGACAGAATTTGTTTTGAGACGAGTATATAATTCACAATCACTCGTTTAATGGGCCTATAATTGATTATAATTAGACAAATGGCAACAGAATGTAAAAATGTTGATGCTGAGTGCAAATGGTTTAATGACGCAGAAAATATTCAAATGATCAGTCTTCACGCACTGCTTGAAATTTCACTGAAATCTATGTGAAAAATATGTGCGGCCCTCCAATGACTTGCAACCTTTATTTTGGCCCGCGAACGAAAAAAATGTTTGCCGACCCCTGGTCTAGGTGTTCTCAATTTTTATTCTATCTCATTTTCCCCTTTGAAAATTTTCAATAGTAAAATTAACCCTTTTAGCTATGCATGTAAATTGTCTTTTTGAGTATGTCGTAAGTGAAATGGAGATGGGGCATAAAAAACATTTATTGTTCAACAAAAAAGATCTCAATCCCAAGACTGTTACAATCTGTTATGTGGTCCCTTATGTACTTTCTTGCTTATTATTTTCCCCGACTACAGGCCAAATTTACTTTTGAGAATCCTTAATAAGCATGTGGCACACCACTGAATGTCATATCCTGGTTGGATATGTGAATAGCTAATCTATTATTTCAGATACACAAATTTGGGATTTAGCCAATCTTATTGCAATTCTTCACAAATTCTAATTGTTTTAAGATGATTGTATGTTTTATACCACATTGTGAACAATTTGAGTTTATTAAACATTTTGAATAAAAAGACCTAATATATCAAATTATATTTTGATATCATAATTCCATCTCATTTTATGTATTTTTTCTGCAGGAAAATGCCGTCATTCAGTAATAAGTTATCTCCGCTTATTCAACAAAGTAAAGTTTCTGGTTCGGCCCCTTCCTTATATGATGTCCCTCAACCTTTGATTAAATCACCGGGCCATGGACAATCTGTAGATCCAAGAATGTCACAGAGTAGCAATACTTCAGGAGAAAGCAGTGGGATGACTGGATCATCAAAAAGAAGTTCAGGTATGATGTAACAATGGATGATTTTGAATATTTTGTTATGTAATAATGGTCATTTATTAATTTATTGTATGGGGTCATTAGAATTTAACTCAGAAGATAGAGAAACTTGCACTGAATAGAAGTTTGCTTGTGACCAATGGTCATTTTGGTTCGGACTACAGGTTGTACAAAATTTTGACTCTGAATCCAACTGCGATGAAATGAAATTTTGATTATGAAATTTTTTCATATGCAAGCATTTTAAAATAGACTGTGTAAACTTAATGGTTTTTGAATTTCTTTGGGAAATTCTGACTTTGTTTATCACCATCGAAAGTCTGAAATCCAGACACAGGGGAAATCAGAATTTCGACTTTGGTGAGTTTGAAATTATGACTTTGGTTTCGACTCCAGTGAACGAAAACGTGCCAAACAACAACTCCAAAGCCCTGTAACGATAAACAAAGACATCCCATTATAGAATTGTACAATGAGGCTTCACAAACCTCAGATATTTTCTACAACTGGGCTTATTACAAAAAAAATCATGTTTTAAAAGAATTTCCATATTTAAACAGTTTTTTGTTTTTGCTGAAATTTTAAACATATTTTATTCTTTATTCAGCTGCCGATACCAGTATTTATGACATGCCACGAAAACTGAGTGACACGCCTGTGAGGCCACCGTTACAACATCAAGATGCCTTTCATAAAGTTGATGACGAGGGACATCCTAGCTATGAAAAAATGTCATCACAGTCAATAGAATTCAACGAAGAAGATCAAGACCCGTATACTATTATGACGTCTGTGCCAACGTTAGCAATGTTTTCATCACATGTTCCACCGGCCCATGTTCGGTTAGCAGATAGTTTTGACGTTCCCCCACCTGTACATAGAGACTTAAAACCTGGAAGAAAAAGCCTTGGTTCGGACGGTGGATCTTCTCAAAGTGGTCTCGACACTCGTAAAAAGAACAATTCGAGAGATAGTTATGAGAGTGATGAAGCTGTATCACCGCCTCATACTTCGGTTGTTCATACCATGCCTATCGTTAACGAACCTAAATCATTGCAATACGGGGGAGGTTTCAGCCCAATTGGGTCAAGAAGTAGTAGTATAACGTCACCGCAACACGCCAAGTTGAATGATTTTAATTCCCGTTTGAGTGTGAGCCCCACCCCACCTCAGAGACCGCCTAAACATAGTTTTTCAAGCTTGTCACCCAGGTCCCCTCCGATGGCAACACAGATTTCTCAACTTCCGGGTCGACCCTATACACCCAGCCATGAATCCCATAGGAATAATAGTCAATTAGGTTACGATCCTTCTGCTGTTCCTGAGAGACCACCCAAACCAGCTAACATGAGAATGAATACTGTAGCACCGATGGGTTGGGACGAATCAAAAATGCTGCCAAAGCGACCTCCGAAATCAAGTGAAGATCACAGCTTCGTACCTTCAAGGCCACCGAAACCAAGCATGGTAAGTTTATTTTATTCTCAATTTTTTGGGTTTCCTGTAAAAGTAACCACGCTTCTTCGATACCGAAATATAACTTTCCAAGCACGGGCTGTTGAACTCTTGTGTACAAAAATACTTAGTTTTGATATAATAAAAAAGCCAGCAAATGGAAGCAAAAGAATAAATGCATTACAGTCAGAGGAATTGGTGAAGGAATAAGCATGTGTGGCGTTGCTTTGAGCAAAAAAAGTATTATTTGGACAACATCCTATCTTATTCAGATATGATATTACTGATGCGGCTCTAATCAAAAGGTACATACATTCATTTTCAGACGCCATCCACCGGAGATTCTTTATTCAGCGGAAGTAGTTTGCATTCGGGTTCATTCTTTCCACTTGGCCCGTCAGCATATGGACCTTCAACTGTTGTTCCACCTCCTCCCGATGCTGATAAAGAAATCAAATATATTGAAATTAACGCTCAAGTTCAACCACCCGCAGATGATCGGTAAGTTGGTTCTTCTTCTTTTGAATTTGTGAATAATTTTGGGTACTCCCGAAGTATGTGAATCAAAGTGGCGGACACTGGAACGAAGTATGTGTACCAGGTAGTATGTTCTATTACGAGTTTGAAGACTAGCCAAGTGACTCCCATAGTATTTGTACCTGAAATTATGGCCTGACCCTAACCTGGTACACATACTATGTTCTGGTGTCTGCCATCTTGGTTCACATACTTCAAGAGTACCTAATTTTGTTGTTGTGTATTCCAATAAATACATTTTTTGCTCTGTGGAGATTCAATTTTCCTAATTTTCTGATGGGAGTATAAGAACATGATTTGTTGTGGGGTGATTGTTGTAGTCAAGGCGTGAAGTCAGAGTCAAGATTTTGAATTTTCTGGAGTCCGAGTTTTATAATTGTTATACTATAAGTCAAAATTTTTGTACAAGAACACAAACAACATCAAGTTTCTAAGCGTTCTCAACAGTCTGTTATAGTAGGCTTGCGTACGCCAAAGTTTCTTTTATTAAAATTTGATTTTCTTAGTCCAATTTTCTCCACCACCAAGTACATGCATTTGTACTCGCCTTGGACTGGCGGTTGGACAAGAGGCAGTGGTCCACCATATGATTTAGTTGTTTTTTCTCCCCTTTTCTATCATGGTTTGCTCCTTTGAATCCATTTTTCTGTTAATTATTTTTTATTCTTTTCACTTGATTATTTAGGAATGTACCAAGTGAACCATCTGTGGAATATTTCCAACTCGACGTCGGCAAAACCAGAGCTCTCGAACTGTCAAAGAAAGAACGACAGAAAATGCAACAACGAGCACACTCTGAAGCGCATTCGTTAGGAAGAGGAAAGGATTGAATAATTGAAATAACTCTCCACTGTCCGCAATTAAATTAACTTCGATTGATCAGAGTGCTGTACAATTTCAAAGTCAGATATAAGCAATTTTACAATTTTTTTTTTTTTGAAGACTTGTTGTTAATGGGACTAAGGGCGCTAATTAATTGAGTGAATTTTCTTATTTCATCATTATATTTGAGTCATTTAAGTATTTACGAGTTTAATATTGATAATTCTGATTTAAATTAGATAGTCAAAAATAATATTTTTATAAATGGTAAGGTTTCGCCAGCAATTGTGTGTTACTGTGGTAGGAATTTTATTGCTTTTCCGAGGTTATGTTATCTTGCAAAAAGTGGGTTTGGGACTTTAAAAATTCATTTTTATGTTCAACTTGTTAAATTATATTGCTCAAAAGTAATCAAAAATAATAGTATATTTAAAAAGTCAGCATGTCAATATGTGTGATATGTACAGCAGGTTACAGATAGTATTTGGGATTACCTGACTGAACTGTTTTTTTAATGTGGTGTTGACTGCATGCCAGTAACTGTAATTTACTATAAGTCACTGCCCATAAAGTTGAACTATGATTCTTATTCTATTCTCACCAGAACGCTCATCATATAGTATCTTACTTTCTAGTTAGTCTGTTCTGTCTTGTTTTCATTGAAGTCAAAAGTCATTTGTACTCTGCAAAAAGGATTTGACCATTCAGTAATATTGGCAAATTTTCAAAATTATTTGGCGATATTTGATAATAAAAATTAGTTGATATAATTTCCAATGTAGAAATTCTATTTTATCTCAATTCTTTGCACCGAATAAGGTTAAATTAACCAAATTGATTTTGAAGTTATCAATAATGTTTGCACTAAGTGGACTTACTTGGTGTGTGCCAAAGTTGAAATATTTGCAGGAGGCAATGACATCATGTTGTTTATTATCCTGACACTATCGTTTTATTGTTATCTGTTTTGTTAAACATTTTAATCAAAATTCATATTTTTATTAGCATTATTTTATGCTAGCTTCCATCATGTTTTAAATTCTTAAATAAAAACAAAAATTGTTACCAAGTTTCTTTATGTGCAATGTACTACTTTCGTTTAATTTTTTTTTCTCTATTCGGTTGTTTTTTCTTTTTTGACACTAATTTTTTGCGTAGTAATTTTCTTCTTATTATATTTTATCAACAATTCATTTAAATAAATCTAGATCACAGTATGTTACAGTGCTATTCATTAATTTTCTATTTTTTATTCATGTCTGAAATGCATAATACCTTAATCTGAAGGACATGTTTAATTTTGCTAAGAATGCCTTTTCAAACGTGTTAAAACAATGTATGTTGTTGGATTATCATTAGTTTTGTCGATTCTGTCAAATGGAATTTCCCCTTCATTTTCCATCAGTTTTGCGATAAGCAGTACATCAGAAAATTGATTTATTTCAGGTAACTCAGTACTGTTTTGATTGAAACTTCAAATATAACTTAAACAAGCATCAGTGTTGGGAAGGGCTCATCCATTGAATTCACTCGAGTTAGACAAACCTTTTATCAATAACTCGAAGTGATTCGAGTCAACTAAATGTCAATGAACTTAACTCAGTGATTGGTTCGACTTCATACTCATTCGTCCCTCGTCTCGACTTGGTACTTATATTCGATACCAGCAAGCCGCAGACCCAAGTGATTAAATGCCTAATCAATGCAAATATTTTAGTGAGTGTAGGTTATGAGTTTGAGTGTGATATGAAGGAGTGCTGCCTAAGTAAAACCAAGAATCTACATTAGTCTTGTTTACTGAACGAAAAGTTTGTCATTGCAAGAACATGATTTCCAAGCCGCTTTTGACTGTTTGAAATAGCCTACCAAAAATCGGTATTTGAATATTTTGATTCAATCCATCCCAGTCTCAAGTGTCATTACTTTGTTGAAATATTGTTCACTGGTTGTCCAACAAGTAAAAATAGTATTCGAGTGAAAATTCGCAATTTTGAACTTGAATAAGGTTTATACTCATTACAATTTATCAAACGTTACTGACGCATCACATCTCTTGATAACCATATTCTGATTGAGTAAAATTATTCTGTACTATTCTGTTAACCTTCTTATATGTTGATTTGAATTATGATTTTTCTCTATATTTACGTTTTATTTTTCTTTATTGAAATAAAGTACCATAGCAGTGAAATTGTTTTTGATGACTTCGTTAGGGTGGACCAGATGCAATAGTGTATTTTAGTCGCGCCCAGGCGATGAGCCTTCGAAGATTTACAAATATAAAGTATAAAAACCCCGGTAAAAATCACTTCTCTCCGTCCCGTTTTTGGTACAGGTTTTGTGTAGTAATACGACTTCGTGTCCGCTTACTAGTCCATGTCGGGTATGCAATAGTTAACATAGGATAGAATTTACATATTTATCTAGATTCTAAAGGGAAAGGAAAGTAGATAAGACGGGTTAATCATAGGTCGAACCACGGCCTCTCGTCCGTTTACCAGTACATGTCGGGTATGGGATGAGTTAGCCAGTTATTTTGTTTTCAGATGGTGGAGGAAGCCGTAACTGACCAGAAGTTACATGAACCCTCATACAGCGGCGAGGAGTCCAACAATCCTCTCGCACATAATTATCGCCAACGGGATTGGAATCTGCGAACCCACCAGGGTAATTAGAGGTGCTGCGACAACGTATTCCGAACGCTTATAGGGATGCACAACACCGCCGAGCCAATGTTCTTTCTTTCGGATTGAAGAGGACGCAGCCGTCCAGTGGGTGTGTGAACACAACACGTTACTGCGACCAGAAGACAGGCCGTGAGATTCGAACCAGCCCAGGGTGATCCCAGGTGCCGCTTATCACGAGCTAATCGCCGAGATCCATTATTCATCTTATCTGTTCCAGTATTAGTTTTGTTGTTAAAGAGAAACTGATTATTTCTCATCTTTTATGACATCACAACCGATTGCAAAACTTTTCAATTTAATACTTTTCAACAAATTTAATTGCTATAGTTCGTTTACTTTATAGTATAGTAAAGTAATTCGCAATAAACAGCTACAAAATGAGTATGAATATGTCGCTAAGATACGAGGTGCCCAACCCTCGCGGGCATTCAGTTTCAAAGCAAAAGATTGAGAAAGACCGGATTATGAAAGATGAATTGATGGCGGAAAGAATTAAAGTGGTTCAAACTGAACTTGACGTGGGCCTGAAGGCTGCTTGGGCCGAAGGACTCGAGGAAGCGAGTACGATAAAAAGGTACAACCTCCTACTAATGTCTAGTTTTCCTAATTTCACCTGTCAGTCTCGGTCTTTAAAATGTAAAAAAATGATATTCGTCCAATATTTAGAATTAATCCCGTCGCAGCACATATCATAAATCAGTGATGTATATGTTATTGGCAGGACCGGATCATCCTTCAAGAGCCCCTAAGCACTAAGATTTTGGTGCTTTACATGTATGAAAAATTAAAAACAATTTTTGGAAACAGTTCTTCTACTTACAAGCATTGATAGAAAAGTTAATCACTATACTAGAGAACTTTTTTTTCGACCAATATTGAGGTCTGTATCTTATGACTCGAATTGTTTCATTAAACACTGAGTCATCATTTAAAAATTGTCTAAGGAAATTTCCGTGGTGCCCAATGTAGTTTGGTGCATATATTTATACACAACTGCTGAGATTGCATACCAATGCAGCATTACCTGGAACATACGTAAAAGCATAACCCAAAAACTGAACCAGATCCATGGTTTTTTATTTATCTTCCACCTGCAAAACCTTCCTAAGCTTTTTGTTCGCCGGATAGAACGCACTTTCTGCTGCACTATTCATTTCCGTGCATAATCCGTTTATCGATCCATTGGTGGATGGAGAATTACGTTTGAAAAGATAGCTGGACTCTTCGAAGTCAAAGTCTAGGACGATGTACTAGTTAGCTGTTCCCATATTCGGGCTGATAAAATGACCAAATATCATGGTCCGCCCCATGATTAAATCTCTACACGATTTCTCTCGCGAGGATATGACCGTATTCTCTTCAAATATTATACTCTGAGAGTCTCGTCAAACAGCATCATACGGAATGACAACAATGCACCTGTGGGTGAAAAAGAATGCCGCCCGTCACTGTAAAACAAATATTTAAATAATAGCTATAAATATTTTACAGGTACGACATGAACAAAGAAGAAAATGCGAGTCAGCTATACAAAACGAAAAGAGCTCTTGTATCCGTTCGGAGAGCCGCCTTGAAAAAATTACTGGAGACGAAATACGAACAGCATGAGCGGGAAATTCATAAACAAGGAATGGCATTTTATAAAAAACGGACATGATTTTATGTGTGTTTTATTTTATTCGGGTAGGGTAGGAGAAACAAACACATTAGAACACAACTGTGAGTCTTCCGCAGGGTTGTGGTGTCGGAATCTTACATTTTCGCTTAGGTTTAAAGTTTACGAAGACGATAGATCGCCAAAAATTGTAACTTATCGCAAGTTCACATCCTTCAAAATTAGGAGTCCAGAGTTTTCACGTAACCGCTGGTCGGTTACGACTTCCTCCATCATCAAGACCGTGCTTCCGAAACAAATAATTGGCTAACTAATCCCATACCCTACCTGGACTGGTTACCGGACGAAAGGCTGTGGTTCGTCATATGATTAAGCTGTCTTTCCTCTCCCCCGGGATAAATATGTAAATCTCATCCTATCAACACATAGGAACATTGAGAGGCATATAACATTAAAGCCAAACTTTTCAAACAAACTAAAAAGACAATAAATTCGCCAAGTTTTCGTTATCAATTTGATTATTTCGTAGTTAGAAGGGCCAGAAAATTTCATTTAATCAAACCAGCAATCGAAGTCAAACTTTTCCAACCCGAAGTTGTTGTTTTTTTCGACGATTTGGTACTCTGATGGAACTCTCGATTCCACAATCGAGAAGTACGGTAATGAATTACCAAAACGTATGGCGGCAATATTAGTTTATTAATGTACGGTACCGCCTTGACGTCACGGCTGATGGGTACGCACTTCGCGGAAGCTAATTATAAAAATACGTGCTTTATGAATTGGAAGTGCCTCTCGCTTTAGTGATAGCAAAATATTCTGACCAATCTCTATCGGTATATGTATACGAAAACTTTTAGGCTCATAGAATTTTTTAATATGGATATAAATGCATAACACGGCCAAGACTTGTAAAAACATATTTGTGTAACTGAATAAAAAGCACAAACAGGTAGAAGGTACATGCATGTGCTCAACAAATTTACATTTATGAGCATTTGTCATCTGAGTTTATTTATAAGCTATAAAGGTAAACCACAGATGTGGAATACACAATTTCTGAAAATTTGGAAAGATTCAGTCACTTTAACCCAAAGAGAAGAAAAACCTATGAGATCATCAGATAAAATGGGACTAATCTAGCCTTGCTTAGTTAAAATTTGGGTAAGGTACCCTTATGTCCACAAACCAGTCGTGCATTTCAGCATTTCATACTCGTTTACTTGGTCAAGCACTGTAGCCAATGCCAACAGTAAAAACTCAATAACTTCCTAGGTATAATACCATACAGCATGCTTTTCCTAGTCATAAATATGAGGGGTAAAGCAGGGGCAGACTTTTATATACTTCCAATGAGCACAACTGTGCAAAATTGTATTGAAGAATTGAATTGGCTCTATTCATTCAAACTTGATAACTAGTGCTTCCTCACAAGCACACTTTACTTTCAACTTTGTATGCATTCTCATGAATTGAACAAAAGCAATTTCACTTCATTCAGTTATACAGACAATTCCTCTAGATTATTTGCAACGAGAGAGGGTCCTCTTCCGCAGCAAATTGATTCCATCTCCAAAGGTGGCCCAATATCTCCCACAATACAGTTAACAGGTTTTCCATTGTTGAATTCTCTTTTCAACAATTCCTTTACTTGTTCGAATTTTTCATCAAATGTAGGAGCTCCAGATGTATGTGCACCAAGATGGTGCACAACCTGAACATAGTATGTGTACCAGGTTAGGGTTCAGGATGTGCCCCATCTTCGTGCACATACTTCGGAAGCGCCCAAATATATAGTGCATTATGTTTTCTCATCCTCTTTTTGTTGTCTTTTCTGTTCTTGCATTTTCCGCATTCTTTCGAGAACCTGTGATTCAAAGTCATCATCTTCTTGACTAGATGGTTCTTCTGAATATTTGGACTTAGGTGCAACATCACCGTTTTTATGATGTCGATTCATGTCTTTATTCAGTCCTAACTTTTGAGTGAAGTGTTGAGCATATGCAGTCAGATCAGCAGGCTTTCCTGATAACCACATAATACTGAGAGGATTTTCTGGGAATCCTATTTCTGAATCATGTGCCAACTGTGCTTCTTTAGCACTTGTGAACTCTATGACTGCACTACCTTTTTTCTTTTTCATTGATACAATTAACGCAACAATGTTACCATACTTCATAAAAATTTTCATCAGAGTATCTCGTGAATATAAGTTCTCCTCGCTGTCTTTTATATTCCACTTTATTTTCAATCTTGCTGGTTCTGCCATAAGATTATTTTTTCTTTCTTCTGCTTCCTCTTTGAGTAATTTCTTCATTGCGATCTGTTCCTCTTGTAGGATTCTCGATCCTTCTTCTCGTAGTCTTTCAATTTCTTGTTTCAAAGTTCTAGAAGCAGTTTTCATAGAATCCCTTTCTTGCATTTCAGCAGCTTTCTCACGAGCTTCCAAATCTAATTTGACTTTTTTACGTTTATCATCCAGTTTTTCTGTTCTCTCAGCCGCGGCCTTTCTTGCGTTTCGAACATGGTCATACGCTGCCCTCGCACCTAAATCTGTAAGAATTTTCAAGGCTTCGGAAAGCTCGTGAAACATTGCCGCTGCTTTTGGGTCATCGGGATTTTTATCAGGGTGAAGTTTCAGTGCTTTCTTTCTATACGCTTTCTTGATCTCTTTCACAGTCGCATTCTGTTTTATCTCAAAAAGCTGATACAAATCCTCGTTTTTTAAATCTTTTAATTCCGTCATTATCTTAACTATTTTTTCTAAAATTTTCTGGAAAGAAACAACACTTTATTTAACAATAATAAAGTCTTACTTCCTAAGCATATATGTGCACATTAGTGATAAAAAAAATTACCAAGAGCAAAAGGATAAATATTATAACATTTCAAATATCCATGCAAAAAATTCATTAGAATTCACACACACAAAGTATCTTAATAAGAGTATAAGACATATAAATGGTGACAAAAATACACAATGAACTCGCTTCAAGTATAAACAGAAACAACAAATTCACACATATTGGCATTGAAACAGTCAAAAACGTACATTAATAATCAAAGTAATATATTTATATATATAATTGTGCTAAAAATTCAAATGGACAATCGAAACATATTGAACAAAAGATAATTAGTGTATTCTAGGTTACTATGATGGCATCGCAGGCAATAATATATAGTTTAAACTGAAAGACGACGGTCCTTTATTTAAAACTGTAGCTCTTCAGCACCCAGCAGAGGCGGCTAATACGGATCATTTTTCACATATATACCAAATATATCATAAAAGAAAACTGCTCCAGCCTTTTAGTAATGCAATGATTGTCAATTATTAAGTTTGCCGAAGAAAAGTTTTGTTTGCTGTTTGAAAAGTTCCACAATATTGGAGAGGTGATTATGGGTACAGATCCTGTCACCACTACATAATAAAGAGATCACTTGCTTAAGAAAAAACATATTTGGGCTTTGGCTAATAGAAATACAGTTTGAAAATTACCACCAACAAACTCCAAATTTACCAATTATTTCTAATATCTAATTTAAACGCAGATATCAAATTCACATATGAAGTTTGAATACTTCAAATTGTTCAAATATGCAGCAAAAGCAACACTTTTGTACAAACTTAATTTTGCAATTTTCTGCACTAACAAACCCATTACTCCAATTCTTAAACACAGTAATGATTTCACTGAAATTTTGAAATCATATTTTACAATATCATATATTTCTAGAATTAGTTATAACTGACATCTAGAATTTAAAGAAATTGAAAAAGCAAAAATTAATTTTGAAAACTAGGCAACATGAAATGAACAAGAACAGTATTATCAGTGCCAGTGAAAAGCTCCTAAACCTAATAAATTGATTATGATTTGTCACTTTTCTACACAGCAGACTTGTGTTTTTCCATACTTACACTACAATATCACTTTATAATGTGATAATTTATTCAAGTTTATACACTTAAAGTAAGAAAGTGGACTATGAGAAAGTGGATTGTTAAAAGGATATATTAGTTTGGACATCAAAAATGTACAAATATAGTTAGGTAGCATATTAGCTATCTTAGAGGCCTGCTATTTTAACATTAGTGAAGTTGAACGAAATTGTAAATAATACCAATCTTAATGATGCAGCCTGGACATATATTACAATAATTATACGACAAAAAAGAAATCTAAAACTTCCGAGGTTTGAGGCACTAATGGATTCAATGAACTGGAAAATGTTTTGATAAATCAGCAAGGAAAAAGAAACATGTATGGAAATATTCAACCGAATTCAAATCTGACCAGGCAAGTACAAGAAGCAATTGTACATTGGATGAAATTTAAAATCCTAGCAGAAACACAACTCAAAAAATTTTCAACAGAGTATTCTCATTTTCCACATTATAGTTAGAAATATTTTATAGATTATTAGTTTTGTTCCAAATATTATAAGGTGTGAGGATGCCTATGTCAGGAAAATTGGTATTCTAAATTTCCATCTTTAATTTGAAGTATTTTGATTATTTTAAAACAAATTAATAGGGAGCCCATATCCCAAACGCTCAAGTGAGGTACTATTATGGTGAAAACTAGGAATTTATAAAGAAACATTAAAAAATGAAAAAGGGTTAAAAATATTTATATCCAACTTCACTGATAAATCATAACAATTGGCACTGTAGAATTATAAGTCTGAGTTTGGCATGCTTTTATTGATACTAGTGCCGAGGCCATAATTTCAAATCCCCTGCAATCTCTAATTCTACAGAATCAGAAATTCAGACTTTCAGCGGTGATAATCGAAGTCAGTATTTAAAAAAAAAACTCAAAAAATATTTATTAAGAGTTCTCAATGGACATTTGAAGGGCTACATGATAAAAGCGTTAATTGTCAAAGTTTAGTTTGGAGTTGGAAGTTTGATTAGGAATACATTTCTTCAACCTGGTGTCAGAATCTAGTTTTTACCAACCTGAGTCGGAGGGAGTCGTTTCTAAAATGGCTGGAAGTTTCGAGTTGATTAAAGAGGATCAATATATTAATCCATCCAGAAATATTGTCTACTTCATATATCAGGGTGTTCTTACATGCTGCTTCATAATACCACTCGATCATGCAACATCCATATATAGTAATAATTTATGTTGACTTTAAAATGACGATATGTAATTAATTACTCAAATTCCAGATTAATGTAGATTATTAACATTTTCTATATCAAACTATTCAATACCTGATAATGACCCACAGAATTATTTAGTTTACCTTAAATTGTGAAATTGTTTCACAAAAACAGCAAAATCAAATTAGTATAATATAATTATTATTAAAAAGGAATGGTGAAAAAAATCAAATAGTTAGCATAAGAGAATGGGCACCATGGAGGATATAACAACGGTTATATTGTTCTAGTGATTGATTATATTTCTTTACTTAGTTTGATTGCATACTCCAAGTCCTTTTGCTCCTGTATTCTCATTTTTTCTCGCCTCTCTTCCTCTTTCTTACTTTGTTCGGCAGCCCATGACATTTGTGCTTTCTCTGACATTCCAGTTATATTTTTCGACGAGTTATTTGTATTCTTTTCAGGGACGAAACTACTTCCAAAAGCGTCAAAAGACGCGCTTGGATTTGGTACAAAAGAGTCTTTACCGAAAGGGTCAGCGCCGTTTGATGTATTATCCCCGACAGAAGGGCCACCAAAAGCGGCCCATGGGTCATCTGAAGAATCTTTTGAGGCATTGGATATGGCGTTTTCAGAATCATTAAACAGGCTAACTGATGGATTTGGATCAGAAAAATCGACTGAAAACATGTCTTTCTGTTTCGCAGGCGTATTTTCAGATTTTTTCGGACTACTTGCTGAGGTTGAGGAGGAAAATGGATCAGATCCACCAAACGGATCATTATCGAAGGACGGTGTTTGAAAAGCATTAGATGAAGAAGCAAACGGATCATCTTTAGAAGAAAACGGATCATTGGTATCGGGTTTTCCTGTTGAACTTCCGAAAGGATCATTTTGATCAACAGTGGAAGTAGAGCCAAATGCATCAGATATATTACTGGGTGTATTACCTGATTGAGTTACAACCGTGCTAAAAGCTGAAGTATCCGCAAATGGGTCACTTTTAAAAGTGTTATCCGATCCTCCGAAAGGATCTGATGATTTGAAAGGATCATCTTTGTTATCGAAGAAACTTTGCGAGTTATCGAAATCTGAGCCAAGTCCGTTTGTAGTTTCTGTCTCGCTTTTTAATGCAGATACAGCTTTATCATATTGCTCTATATTCGATGAAACAGTTTTCTGCTGTTCTGTGAGAGAAGTGATTTGTTCTTTGACTTTAACAATTTCATTTTCGGCATCACCGACTTGCTTCGTGATATTATGAAGCTGTTGTTGACCTATTTGCAAAGTTTGTTGAAGCTGAGTTTCTTCTGTTTTTAAACTATCTAGTTGACTTTTTATTTTATTATATTCTTCTTCTTGTTGAGCGTTCGCTAATTCTTGAGCTTTAATTTGACTTTGAAGACTAGAAATCGTTCTTGTTTCTTCCTGAACTTTTGCCCGTACATCGGCCAACATCCCATCAAGCTTGAGCTGCTGTTGATCCAATTCATCTATCCGAGTATGAGCTTCCGCTTTATCAGACTCAAGTTGAGATAAAGATGTACTCGCTCTGTCGAGAGTATTTTGAAGATCTTGGACTTCATTGCTTCGTTGTCGCACCACGAGTTCTTTTTCTCGGATCTCCCCAGTTAAAGTCTCCTTTTCACGTCTCAATTCTTCAATTTCACGATTTAGCGTGTCCAATTCTCTCAATGCGGAAAAATCACCAACTCCACTACTACCATCAGATAGACTCCCAGAGTCACCAAATCCAGAATCTCTCGTCTTTGACGCATAAACTTCTGGAGGTAGCTGTGTGGGCACCTCTATTCCTTTTACTTTTTGACTTATAAAATGCATCGCCAGAATAAACTGATCCTGCGTTAATTTACCAAGCTGCTGCTGATCGCATAAGTTCCAAACTTGAGCGAGTACTTGATGAGGGAGACCACTTTGTACAAAAATGTCCCTCGCTTCGGATCCAGCAATATAAGAATCAGCTCCTGCTTTTTGAGAAAATATTCCAAAAAATCTTGTGTATTCAATATCTGGAACAACACCTTTAATATACAAATTGGATTGTGGCGTTGAAACTGGAGTGCTAACACCCACTGGATTCAGGATAGAATTTGTAGATGTGACAGCGGGTTGTAGCAATCCTATGTTCGTACTAGGTAATTCGGTTTTAGCATTTGCTGAAGATATTAATGGTGGCAAGACAGCTACTGCCCCTACCAATAGCGGCTTTCTTTTGGATGGTGGTACAATTTCTTGTGGTAAAATGGAAGGTACTGGTTCATGTTCTAGTGCTTTGTACACTAAATGCATAGCAACACAAAATTCATCTCTGTCCAAACACCCATCTTTATCGATATCTGAAAGTTCCCATACTTGTCCTAAAATGTCATTTGGGAGTTTGGAATTTACTAGAACAGGTTTTACTTTATCACCACCGAGTTTTCCACCAACAGGTCCAAGACTGTCAAATATGCTTTCAAACTTTTTTTTTTCTTCCCCTTGGATTTTCCATGCAACTCCCGCCATGACATAAGTTTGGAATAAGATTTATTGAAGAAAGTAAACTGAAAGATAAGATAAGTTTATTTCGACTCCATAATCAGCAAAAAGACAATAAAATGGTTGATAAAAACAAATTAATAAAAATTTATTATGAAATCAGGAGAGTAAACAAAACCTTGGACAAGGTTTAAAACGAACAGAATATAAGAAGGAAGGTATTGCCAAAAAGAAGTGGTATGTGTTCACTCACCTAGAACTATTGAATCAAATCATTCACACTCGCAAAAAACACACACACACAACCATAGGGCATTGATAAAACTAGAAAAAAGAGAGAAGCTTTAGATAAATTATATGGTAACCAAAAAATAAACACGTAAAAAAGAAATTAGAATAAAAGATGAAATGTAAAAAATAATAAATTTTATAAAAACTCCCAAACAAGAGTGAACTGTGAACTGTATTTAATAAAAGGATAAAAAAAATGTTTTCGCCAAGCTGATTATAATTCAATTGTCAAATGCCAAAGAGCCCAACCAAAGTTAAAGTAGCCAAAGTTGAGTGCATGAAGAGGTGGGATAAACCTTTTCATTCACCAAAGACATGCCAAAATATTGCCAAATTGTAGTTCAGATTACACCAATTATTAAATACTACTGGTAATAGTTTAAGTATAATATAATTAGATTAGGGCAGTGGTTCCCAAACTTTTTAGAGTCGGGACCCACTATTCATTACCACAGCTTATGGCAACCCACTTAACTTTAATTTAATTTTTTTTTTATGACATAACACAGCAATGGCTAATCATCGCAAAACTACCGTGTTTCTTCGAAAATAAGACCTGGCCTGAAAATAAGATAATAATTTGATAATAATAATAATAATTTTCAAAATGATTTTATAATTAAACCCTACCCTTAAAATAAATTTTAAAATGTGTGGGAGAGGAAAGGTTCATTGGCTAGAGGTAAGGTGAGGATCACACCACAATTCAAGATTGTGTGCTATCACAATCATGATATTTGTCACTTGATTTTTTGTATAGGAAATACAAATAAAAACAATGGATGTTGGTTTTTATATAATGTTTAGTAAAAATCTTGTGATTTTCTACAATGTAATTTTATTTTTGATAAATGAACGCAAAAGACCTCATCAAAAAAAAACCATAGTGTTATTCTTCAAAAGAAAATAAATCTAAATTCTGTCTAAATTTCGGGGAAACACGGTAAGAAGTGCTGTAGAGTGTACAAAACTGCTATGCGTAAAAAAGCCACATGGTCATTCTTTAAGTAGCAAAGTTTTGTTCCTTTAAGAAGATTGTAAAAAGGAAACCTTCACAGATTAGAATCTAAATTCAATTTAATTTTTTTTGTTTTTTTGAAGATTTACGTATTCCAGTCGCCACCGATCCTAATTACCAGTATAACTAACCAAAGCTTTCTACATCTTCTCACGACCCACTAAGATTCCTTTTGCGACCCACCAGTGGGTCGCGACCCATAGTTTGGGAACCGCTGCAGGATTAGGGGATTGATACTGAAGTAGGTATTGAGATAAGTAAAAACACAAATAGACTATCAGAATAAGCTATATACTGATATATGAAATCAATAAAAAAATTCACATTTTCCAGTTTTGTACCTATGCCAAAGTAAACGTCGAAGAATGTGATGTGAAAATTAAGTCCAAATTTTATTTATTTTTAAACAATGACCGTCTCGCGGAACTCTGGAGCGACATAGTACGGTAGCCTATAAGTAGACTAGGTACGGTACCCATTTTGGTATGATACATACCGGTACCTACTTAGTTGGAAATTGATAAGGTTAAAGTACCACCTACCATACGCTAAGATAACCCTGAAGAGATTTCCCCCTCTGACAGTTTGAGCTTGCCTGTACCGTAACCTATGATAGCGATGATACACCCTGAGTGAAACCCCTTTCACGAAAATCGTTGTCGCCCTCCAACGTCCATTCATTATTCGATTCGCAGATGCTTCTTGTGATGGGTTGTCTCAGTTTAGAATGGACCTTTCCCCGACCTTTGACCCCCGAAAAATTCTTCCTATACTTTACCATTGCAAAATTTTCGGGGCTATTTTAAGAGTGCTTTTGCGAGTTGGCGCCTGTAAATGGGGTATGTGTTTCAAACCATCATTATGATTCAGCGCATACAACAATCTGTTTTTTAAAAGTACCGGTAAAGAATTTTAGCCTAGTCTATCATAGCTATCTCTACACAAATTTTTCACTACTGCAATTGAATTAAAACTCCTCGGAGGACAGAGTGATCATTGAATTATCTGATTTATACTCAAGTTTCCGAAACACAACAGAAAACTAACGAATAGAGTTCAAAAACGCAAAAACGAGGTAATATTTACGACCACGCTTGAAAATCTGTCTGAGTGAGAAATGTGATGTTGTTACGTCACTTTTTGAATCTTGCTGATTGGCCAATGTCACAAAGTAAACAAGGAGGTCGGGGAAAGGTCTATTGGGGTTTCGGAACTGATCTTAAAATTTGATTTCGTTAATTAGGTGAATGTCGCGTTCCTATATTTACCACAAATGGTGGGTTAAATTCGTGATATGCCGATGCTCAACGTAAGACGAGGTTATTCCCCAGTCAAGACTACATTTCGAAAATACGCGATGAAACACAGACTTATAAGTCTACCAATATTTACGGGCTAACTAATAGTTTAGAAAGGCATGGAAATGATAACAAATATGTTAATATATTATGTCAAGGTTTTCAACATAAATACATCAGCCCTAGGTAGTGATAGATGTAGGATAAGATTGTTTTAACTTAATTTATTACTAATAGTGGTATTTATTCATCTGCTAATTGTCATTTTTCATGTAACTATTGAACATTTATGGCTATAATATCTTAAATATTTGGTAATATTAAACAACTGGATGATATGTATTTGAAAATTTGAATGATACTGATGCTGAATTGATGTAACATACAACGATGATGGGGAATATATTGGATGATGATGAACTTTATTGTATTCTTGTATTAACACATATTAAAAAAAAAGATTACATTTCCCAAATTCGCATTAGCGGCTAGCGCACACTATTCCCTGCCCTCGAATTATTGGACACGAAATGTACATGTTGATCGTTTCCATATGGACCTTTGACCCCCGAAAAATTCTCATATACTTTGACTTTACCATTGCAAAATTTTCGGGGCTTATTTTAAGAGGGGTTTCGCGAGTTGGCGCCTGTAGAATGGGGTATGTGTTTCAAACTATAATTATGAATCACCGCATAATACAATCTGTTTTTTAAAAGTACCGGTATAGAATTTTAGCCTAGTCTATCACAGCTATTTCTACACGAATTTTTTATTACTGCAATTAAATTAAAACTCCTAGAAAGACAAAATGATCATTGAATTATCTGATTTATGTTTAAATCTCCGAAACACAACTGAAAACTGACGAATAGAGTTCAAAAACGCGAAAACGAAGTAATGTTTACGACCACGCCTGAAAATCTCACTGATTGAGAAAAGTGTCTGAGCGGATGCGGAAAGGAAGCATTGTTACGTCACTTTTCGCATCTTGCTGACTGGCCAATGGGATAAGATAGGAATCAGGATTTACATATTTATCCTCGGGGAGAGGAGAGCCGATAAGGCGGCTTAATCATATGACGAACAATGGCTTCTTGTCCGGTTACCAGTCCAGGTCGGGTATGGGATGGACCTTTCCCCGAGCATTGTTTTCCTTGTTTACTTCGTCACATTGGCCAATCAGCAAGATGCAAAAAGTGACGTAACAATGCCCCCTTTTCACATCCGCTCAGACACTTTTCTCACTCAGACAGATTTTCAAGTGTAGTTGTAAACATTACCTCGTTTTCGCGTTTTTGAACTCTATTCGTTAGTTTTCAGTTGTGTTTCGGAAACTTAAATATAAATCAGATAATTCAATGATCACTCTGTCTTCCTAGGAGTTTTAATTTGATTGCAGTAATAAAAATTAGTGTAGAAATAGCTGTGGTAAACCAGCCTGAAATTCTTTACCGGTACTTCTAAAAAACAGATTGTTGTATGCAATGAATTATAATGATGGTTTGAAACACATACCCCATTTTACAGGCGCGAACTCGCAAAAGCACTCCTAAAATAGCCCCGAAAGTTTTGCAATGGTAAAGTATAGGAAGAATTATCCGGGGGTCAAAGGTCGGGGAAAGGTCCATTAGTTAGCCAGTTATTTGTTTTCGGAGGCATGGACTTAAGAGTAGAGGAAGCCGTAACCGACCAGCGGTTACGTAAACCACCCTACGGCGGCGAGTAGTTCCAGTAATCCTCTCGCACATGATCATCCCCGCATGGGATTCGAACCTGCGATCCCACGAGGGGTAATCAGAGATGCGGCGGCGAGCGTATTCCTAACGCTTAGCCCGATGCGCCACACCGCCGAGCACAAAATACACCAGGAAGTTGATGCTCGGGGAAAGGTCCATTATGTTGTTGTTAGAAAACCTTTTCTCATTATTTTTTTGTGTCTCAGATTTTTCATACATATACAATACAATTTTATTTCGATCTTTCGTCTTGACTGTACAGCACGGAACACGAACAAAAAATAAATAAACGAACACAAACGAGGGTGACAGAAAGATTGGGAAATAGGCAAAATCCAGGGAAAGGTTTATAAGAAATACTTCAACCAGCTCTTGTGCCGATTCGCCAACACAAGTGACAAAAAATCTTCACGATAGTCTTACTGAAGGACAAAAAATGGACTCATAAGCCAGCAGTTCTTAAACTTTTAGTTAGCGGCGCCAAATTGCAAGGGTAAAAAACTCACGGCGTACTTACACGAAAAAAATGCTGCTTCTAAATAAAACTCAATTGTGTGATCTTAATGTGTACGGTACTTTATGTCGTTTGAAGTTGGTAAACATGTAGAATCATTAATTAAGCAATGAAGGCAAACGGTCAACCCTTCTTCCTCACCCCTATCTAATTGTTCTTTTGAAATGCCAAAAACCGCTCATCGGTTCGACAGATAAACAAACTG